GACAAGTCTACGAACCAAATTTCAATTTATTTCTCGCGAATAATAAACGTGCGCGGCGCGCGTGCGCAATCTCTGCGTAAAATTATTTTTTGTTTCAAAATATAATTATATTATCGTTTATCATATTATTTTTTTAATTATGTATAATCTTAATTATATTTTGTGCACAGAAATCTTTTACGACTTATACATTTATTTTATATTCGTCATATTATAATAATAATATAAAGATTTTATTTGACAAAATAATTGAAAATGAGTATACATACAATATATTATTTAAAAAGTTTTGTGTAAAATTTCAACTATTTCAAGATTCTTTTTATTTAAACGTCGAATATGAAGATTTGCATGCTTAGAAAGTAAATAATTACAATTATTATTTATTAATTTTTCAAGAAATTATTAATTTTGTGTAAATACATATTTTACAATATCTATAAATATTTTTATTTATAAATTCAACATTTCCTTTTTCTTCAAGCACATAATTAGTATGTCGTACTTTTGATAAATCTTTTATCTATAAAGCTATAAAATAATAAAAGTATTACGTTAAAGATGTGATATATGTGTGGAAAGTTAATATTAAAATTAATGCAATAAATCGCTCGTATTGTATGGTAAACTGTAAACCGTCTTAATTTGAGCCGTAATATAAGGATTGTGATAAATAAATAATAATAAATATCTATCTATTAGATATAAATTTATTTAATTAAGATGAAATAAGATAAATGACATAACACAGAGTTTTGTTTAAAACTGACATATGCAATAAGTTATTTTCAAGTGGCGTATTTAAAACCTATCTTATATTCTGATTTCAGATATGCTTGTTGTCTACAAGCTTTGTAATGAAGTTTTGTTCGTTATCTGATCCATAATAATTGTTGACCGAAATTTTGATATTTTTCGCACAGTTTTATAAATTATTTAACGTACGAAATATTGTTTGTTAGTGCATGTCGCACGGTTTCTCGACAAAACGGCTTTCAGAGATTTAACACAACTCAACAGTGGTATTTTCTCAATGGCTGTATTTTATCTTGGAATTCTATAAATCTAAAGATAGCGCCAAATGCATTGTTTAACGCATTGTCACCTATTACCAATGAAACCTTCTCTAATTTTCACTGATATTTCAGACCGAGAAGAAGGCGACTCGTTCGTCATACGATAAGGAACCTCGTCTCTCCCTGTTCTTCACTTCTTCGAGAAAGTACTCGTACTCGTTCTTATCTAAGTCAACGTAAAACAAGTTGGTCCAAAGAGACTTGTTCTTTGTTTCATAGGGTTCAATGAAAAGGAAAAAAACAACATGACCGAAAAAAAAATTATCGAATCTTTCTGTGCATGTAAATCACTTATATATATATTGTTATATTTTTCAAGCAACAAAATAAATTCTTCAGATTCGTTCAAACTTAAATTTGAAAAAAAATGGCAAGATTTAATTTATTTATTAATTAACGTTTTTTTTTCTTTATTCCAATTTTGTTTTCTTTATATGTACTATTTATTAAAGTCACAAAAGAAAATAATATATTGAAAAGTTAATAATAATTAGATTATCGATTTCGATCAATTACTTATTGTTATTTTTAATTTATCGATCACTTATCATTTCTAACATGGACTTTGACTGACTCATTATTACCAAATGTCATCATTTATTAATTGATTACTTTATTGCTGTTTAGTGAATACCGGTTAATGATTTCACTTTGTGAAATTTGAGATTCTGAACAATAAATCTCGAACCATATTCTACACGTTACAAAATTAACGCTTGGAATTCTGCAGTGAGGTGTATTTTTGTATGATGTAATATGGTGGTTGCCAAAGTTGTATGGCAACTCCATTATCTCATTTTATAATTTCAGTTGCAGTTTTTGTAGTTAAATTTCAACGTTATTCAAGTACCAACGGTGGCAACGATTGGTATGTACATGCATACAATATTGTACCCAGTAAACTAGATTAAAGGGAATCAACGATCCAGTGAGCGAATAAACTACGTAGATACCTATGTAAGAAAAAAAAAAGGAAAGATAGTAGACAGAAAGAGAAAGAGAGATGGTGAATTAGTTCGACGGAAAGAGGATCGAAGGAAAGAAAATCGAGTGGAACACTCGATCGCGGTAACGAATTATAAAAGTGACCATAGGCCCGCGGATATATATCTACACATTCTACACACAAGCAGTGAGTCCGGATTCTGCGGATCACCCCCGCTCCACCTTTCTCGCCCCACCTTCCTGACATCCCGATGTTTCTCCGCGTGGCAGCCTGCATCCCTTAAGTCGGGGTGTCCCCTTGCCCGCCCTTCTAGGTATTTCCCCTCCTCCCCCACGCATTATTCATCTCTCGTTCTCTATCCTCGTCCCCCTTTTTCTCGTCGGTCCTCGTATTACTCCCTCTTTCTTCCTCATTTATTTTTCTCTTTTTCCTCCTCCTCCTCTTACTCTCACTCTTTCTCTCTTTCTTTCTCGTTTTCTTTCTCTGCAGGTCTATTCGACGTCCCTCTTGTTCTTGTTATGTCTTTCTCATTCCCATCAACGCGAAGCAACGTCCTCGTCGCACGAGGCTCCAATGTGCAGCGGCCATCTTGCATACCTGAGCCTCCGCATTGCTCGTTCCTCGAGGGCAAAAGGGAGAATATCTCAGCGAGACGGCGGCGGGATGCGCGAGGCGAGTCGAAGGTGGAAGGATCGCGCGTGGAAGATGGCGAGGAGGGAAAGCTGGAGAGGTGAGTCGAGTTAAAGGGTGGGGGAGGAGAGAACGGGGCCCACGGTCGAAGCAGCGGGCCCCAGGAAAGAGCAAGTGGGAGAGAGAGAGAGAAAGAGAGACAAGCCTCTACATGATGGACAAAGAAGCCTGTATTCTGATATAGGCAGCGGTATGGCAAAATGGTAGGGGCGAGGAGTGAGGATGGGAGATGGGAAAGAGAACCGAGGTAAGAGCGAAGAAAATGGGCGTTCGGTAAAAGAGAAAGAGCGACGAGGATAGGAAACCAAACGTTTCTTGACACGGAAGACAGGGAGGGAGAGAGAAATAGAAAAAGAGGGAGCGAGTTGTTAGAGAGAGCGAGTGGGACCATCGTGGAGCGAGGAAATGCGGTAGAACCATGGTGATTCTACCGGAGCGGACAGAGAAGGTGATATCGATAGGCCAGGCCGGGGTGATCGGGGCAAAGGCATAGACAGAAAGAGAGAGAAAGAGGGAGAGCGGAGATATAGGGAACAGGAGAAGGATAGTGAACAGGGGAAGGGGGAGAGAGAAGGCCCGATGGATCGGAGAGGGACGGCGTCAGCCAGGCCGAAGAATGCTCCTCTTGGCAGCGGCGAGGTTCTGGGACCGGCTCGGTTCAGTCGAGTCAGGTCAGCCCTCGGGAAGGCGACATTCTTCTTCACGGTGCTCACGTTCCGCGTTCTTTCGGGGCATTACGTCGTGTTGATCGCGGCCCCGTCGTGTTACGTTATTTCTCCTTTATTTTCCACCCTCTTATCCTCTCTCCATCGGCCTTAGTGTCGATTGCCTTCGCAGTTGCGCGCGGTTCATCTTCATCCCCCGATAACCAAGCCTACCCCGAGGCGCGCGCGCGCGCGCGCACGCGAACCCGTTGTGCTGCTCGTGAGATTGCTTTACGATCGGCGAACCCGAGTGAGCGCTGCATCGCGATCGCGTGAACTTCCTGACAATTTCCGCGAAAGATAGCGCGCGAGTTCGACACGGCGAGTCGCACGAACTCGGAAAGTGAATCGCGAATTCGAAGTCTGTCGGAATTTGGTTATAGATCGATACTCTCGTGAGGATACATCCTAAATCATATTCTTTCTATTTGTGCTTCGGATATTAGATCTTTGGTGTGTCCTCTGTGTAGTGTTTATGCGAGATTCTGTCGGGCTCTCGACTTAAGCTTTAGTGATAAATTGATGGATTCTGAGTGTTTGACATATAGCGAGATCGCCACGAAAAATCGTTGTTTATCGTTTGTTACCAGTCATCCTCTTTTCAAGAGAAATTTCATCGTTATAAAAATGCATTATGACAGAGCGAAGCACGTGACGTAGATGCGTCTGCCTAGAGCGCAGGAACTGAAAAAGAAAAGTAATCTCTTCAGAGGAGAATCCGTTCGTGAGAAGAGAGGAAGATATATATTTTCTCGATTCTATATCGCGATTGCTAATCGGAAAATCGATTGAAACGTTCCAGTCTTGCGCTCGCGGAGCATTCGCGAGCATCCACAGACGCGCGTTTCGCGAGGCGCGGCTCTCGGCGGGTCACTGCCCCCTCTGCCGGGTGAAGTCTCCTCTCGTATACACTTGACTTTTAGCGGCGAAGGAAAGGAGAAGTAAAAGAAGAGAACAAGAGAGAGAGAGAAAGAGAAAGAGAGATAAGGAAAGAAAGTGTGTGTGTATGTGTGAGAGAGAGAGAGAGAGAGAGAGAGAGAGAGAGAGAGAGAGAGAGAGAGAGAGAGAGAGAGAGAGAAACGAATACAGAGAAGAAGAAGAAGAAAGACGGAAAAGAAAGCACCCACCAGCTCCGAGTTTAAATCGGGATTCTGATCCAGGTGGGGAAAAAATGCGACGCATCGCCGGACAGAAGACGGCGGTTCACGTCGTCGCGCGCGATTAATCTCCGTCCTTGGAGGAATGTCGTGGTACGTGCAATGCACCGGTACGTAGACGCGGAAGACGACAGGATTATCGCCGGCCACAACCATGAAGAAGAAGAACGACAGGTAGTGCGTAATCGGAGCGCGCGATTTTACGCCTACGACGAGTCACCGTAAGCCGAGATTTGGCTAAGGCAGGTGGGCGTGTCGCGGCGAGACAGAAGAGATGATCATAAGGGGATCGATGATCCTGACCCTTCTCCTGGGACTACTGTTGGTGGTGGACCAAAATGGCGGCCAGGTCGTCGGCCAGAACGCGGCGGCGACGGCGACGGTGGCAGTGGCCGCGTCTAATGACTACTTTACTTTGCGTAACCTACCTCAAAGGGTCACACGGTTAGTGCCACGAAGGTCACCAATGTTGCCGCAGGATAACACTGCGGCGATGGGTTTAGCGATGCAGAGTAGAGCGGTCGACACGCGGGTCCAACTCGAGATTAGGGAGGGTGAGCCGAAGGGTACCCTAGTCGGCACGATACCGGTGAAGCCTGACTTCACTTATAGGTTCAATGAGCCACCCCAGGAGTTCGTACTCGATCCAGAGACTGGCAAAATAAGGACGGCCATGGTTCTCGATCGCGAATCTCTCAGCAGCGATCGATTTGATTTAGTTGTGCTCTCCAGTCAACCGACCTATCCGATCGAAGTGCGAATTTTGGTTCTTGATATCAACGACAATAATCCAGAATTTCCGGAACCTAGTATCGCGGTTAGCTTCTCGGAATCGGCTGTGGCCGGTACCAAGCTATTGTTGGACGCTGCTACTGATCGAGATACGCCAGAGAACGGTGTATTAGACGATTATTTTATCGTAGACGGCAATACGGACGACAAGTTCCGTCTGGAAGTCACTGGGAATCCTACAGGTGAAACGTCATACTTGCACCTCGAGACTACTGGGAAATTGGACCGTGAGCAGGTGGAATTCTATTCGCTCAACATCTGCGCGCGCGATCGCGGCCGACCACCGCGATTGGGTTATCTGCTGGTGAACGTGACGGTGTTAGACGTAAATGATAACCCGCCCGTGTTTTCACAGAGCGACTACGTGGTAGCGTTGAACGAAAGCGCCCCAGTCGGCACCAAGGTGTTGAAGGTGCAGGCTACCGATAAAGATTCGGAAGACAATTCTGAGCTGACTTATTATCTGCCGGACAATGAGCGCAAGTTCACAATCGATCCAGAAAGTGGCTTTATCACGACAGCCGAGCCATTAAAATGCCCTCAACAACGTTGTACGGTGGTACGTCCAGGCGGTGATTGCCCTAAGAGCTGCGTCATCACAGTCTTCGCTCGTGATCACGGTGTGCCTAAGCAAGATGGTCGTACTTACGTGACGGTAAACCTATTGGACGCAAACGATCACGATCCTGTAATCAAATTCAATTATTTTCCTCCAAACGCGGGTTTTGCCACCGTCGATGAGAACACCGCCAAGGACTCGATCGTCGCGGCGGTAGCGGTGATCGATGACGACGAGGGTTTAAACGGCGAGACTAGCGTGGAGATACGTGCCGGCAATGAGTTAGGTCACTTTCGACTCGAGGTTACAGAGAGCTTCGACATCGTGCGAGTCGACGGCCGGTTGGACCGCGAAGAGATTCCCAAATATAATCTCACAGTGGTTGCTACCGACAAGGGCACGCCGCCAAGATCGGCTACAGCCTATCTAGTGATACATGTGAATGACGTCAACGATCACGAGCCGGTGTTTCAACAAAGCGAGTACTCAGCGGTGCTATCGGAATTCGCACCGATTGGCAGTTTCGTCGCTAGCATCTCGGCTACGGACGCGGATTCTGGGCTGAACGCGCGAATTTATTACGAGTTCGGTTCAGGTAATGAACAAAATTGGTTCGCCATCGATAGTGACACCGGTTTAGTCACCACCGTGGCTACCTTGGACCGTGAGGTACAAGGTAGCATCGAGTTACACGTATCGGCACGAGACGGTGGTCCGAATACTAAATACGCGTCCACGCATCTCAAAATAACGATCCTCGACGAGAACGACGAGGCACCACGCTTTCCCAAGAATGTCATCGAAATCGCATTGTCGGAGAACACGGCGCCTTATAGTTTAATAGCTACTCTCACAGCTGTTGACAACGATCAAGGTACGAATGGTAGCGTCGCGTACAGTTTTCATTCTAGTGTTTCGCGTGATTATTCCAAAACTTTTGCTCTGGATGCTCTGACCGGTCAGTTGTCAACCATGACCGCTCTGGACCGAGAAACCATAGCAGAATACAGACTTCTAGTGATAGCAAAAGATCAAGGCACGCCAGTACAATCTTCGACTGCCACCGTGGTGTTGATGTTACAGGATGTCAACGATAATTCGCCGATCTTTTATCCTTGGAAATATCTAATGACCATCTCTAAAGATATTTCGGCAGGTACGACGATAGGTAAAGTAATGGCGACTGACGCAGATGCTCGGGAGAATGCTCAGGTGAAATACACTCTGGAATCCGGCGGCGAGGGTCGCTTCGTGGTAGAGGAGAGAACCGGTGAGATTGTCCTGCAAGGTTCTTTACGGTCTGCACACAAGACTCTTTATGAGTTAACAATCTCAGCGAAGGACATCGACAATCAGGTGGCAGCCAGGAACGCTATAGTAGAGATTATACGCGAAGAAGATCTGGAGCATCTCGAGTTCGATACTTACAACGGCTATGAGTTTCGCGTTCTTGAAGATCATGGCGATTGCGATTACGTTACGTCTGGTAGTCGGGAGATCGGCTCGGTACACGTTACGCAATACGGTAACACGGGTAAAGTGAGCTATGCTATAATATTCGGTGATCCTAAGGGCAACTTTAAAATCGATGAGAGTACTGGCGTTATTAGCACCACCGGCTGTCTGGATCGCGAGCGTGTCGTTTATTACAGCCTGCAACTTTCAGCGCGTACCAATCTCGCGTACGGCCAAACAATCGTTAACATTACAGTGCAGGATGTCAACGACAATCCGCCGAGGTTTCCCAGAGGTGAGTGGGGTGACGAGATTCTGCGAGAAAACGCAGCGGTGGGACAGGAAGTGTGCCTTACTCGGGCCAGAGATCGCGACATCGGCGCCAATTCCAGGATTGTTTATTCGTTGACACATAATCCAGACGGACAGTTCAGAGTAGCCGAGAATTCTGGCATTATCTATTTGAATAAACCAATTCGCGTACCGCCTGGTACAATCCTCAATCTAGAAGTGACGGCGACTGATTCCGGCAGGCAGCCTCTGTCCGCTCAGTACCAAGTTCGAGTGACGATCGAAGATGTCAACGATCACACACCGGTTTTCCGACTGAGCAGCTATGAGACTTCACTGTCAGAATCTACGCCAGTCAACGAGCGTTTCTTTTCGTTAACGGCTCAAGACGCAGATCTCGGCAACAACGGCAGGATATTGTACAGTATTACCGATGGCAACGCGGAGGGCCGCTTCGGCATCTTCCCGGATGGCCAGTTATATGTGAAAAATGAGCTCGATCGCGAGGAACAAGATTATTACGCGCTCGAGGTTACTGCAGCGGATCAGGGTAGCCCATCACGAAGCTCCGTGGTCCCGGTGGTGGTGCACGTGATTGATGAGAACGACAACGCGCCTGAGTTCACCAATAGCAGTTTCAGTTTTCATCTACGCGAGAACGAGCCGCCTGACACCTTCGTCGGCAAGCTGCTGGCTACTGATCGCGACGTCGGTCGTAACGCCGATCTCATATTCTTACTTCCGCTCGTTCAGAGTGATTTCGTAGTCGATCCAAGGAACGGTTTCATCAGATCACAGCACGCATTCGATCGTGAACTCTTAGTGACCAATACTGGCAGCAACTATATCAATTTGGAAGCTACCGTTGTAGATAATGGCGTTAATCGTTTACGTGACCGCGTCAAGGTCACCATCTATATCACCGATATTAACGACAATATGCCACAGTTCCAGCGTCTACCGTATCGAGTTCAGGTGAGCGAAGGTGCCGCGATCGGCACGCAGCTGTTAAGAGTCTACACGACTGATGCGGACGAAGGCTTGAATGGTGATGTGTTCTATTCGTTGGAGGACGGCAATCAGCATGGCCATTTTATGATAGATGAGGCTACCGGGCAGATCTCTCTGATGAAGGAGCTTGATCGTGAAATGTCTGATACCTACGTACTGACTGTTGTAGCACACGATGCTGGTTTGGAGACACGATTGTCATCTAGCGCGACTGTTCATATCGAAGTGCTCGACGAGAACGATAACGTGCCGTTCTTCGTGGACAACAAATCGAGGATTTCTGTACTGGAGACTATGCCAATCAACACCGAACTGTTGCGTTTCAAGGCCACCGACAACGATCTCGGACCCAACAGCGAATTGGCATTCGCTATATCGGCCGGTAACAAGAGAGACACGTTCTACATTGATCCTCTGACCGGCATTCTGTACCTGAGAAAGCCACTCGATTATGAAGAACAAATACGTTACACGCTTAATATCACATGCAGCGATGGAGGTCACCCGCGTCTCAGTTCGATCACTAGCCTGACCGTCGAAGTGATCGACACCAACGACAATCCGCCGGTGTTTCCAAACACAGCAATAGTACGTCAGATACGCGAGGGTATCCTCGTGCGAACGCCGATTGTCACCATTACCGCCGAGGATCCAGATTCGGGCGATAACGGAGTGGTCAGCTACTCGATCCTTAGCCAGGAACCGCAGGATCAGGTGAGACGTTTCGGTATCAATCCATCGAGTGGTGTGATCCATACGCTGCTTCCAATCGATCGCGAAGACGTGGATACGTTCAATCTGGTGGTGGTCGCTACCGATCAAGCACAACCACCAAGTGCACGGTTGTCTGCCGAGAAACAAGTGATTGTGTTCGTCGAGGATATCAATGACAACGCGCCGATCTTTGTTAGCATGTCGGCGGTAGTGTTACCGCCTCTGTTCAACTATCATCAAACCGAGGATATTAAGGTCATGAAACTGCTGGCTCGCGATCAAGACTCTAGCACCAACGGCCTGGTGACGTATGAATTACTCCGCTCTAGCGTCAACTATTCGAACATGTTCGAGGTTCATCGTAACAACGGTCAGCTCGTTATGATACTTCCGCAATCATCCTCAAAAGATAGTCTCTTCGAGCGAGCCTCCTTCAAATATCAAGTAGGCGTCCGAGCGACGGACGAGGCGGTCCAAGCGGAGCGCCGTTCGTCCGAGACTTACGTGACCTTGATCGTGCCGGGCGAGGACGGCGACGATCAGCCGATTTGGGAGCATCAGGGTCAGATTGAAGGTAACGTTTACGAGAACGAACCGATCGGCACGAGTATCTTGCGCGTGAGCGCGTGTAGTCGTCAATCCAATATCGAGCTCGAGTATTACGTGACGAACGTGACCGCCGGCGACGGGTCCCAAGTTGATCGGCTATTCGACATCGACACGAAGACCGGTGTGCTGTCCACCGCGGCCCAACTCGATCGTGAGACCGGCGTCCAGTGGTACGAGGTGGAGCTATACGCCATCGGCATTGGCGGCACCAAGCCCAGTACGACGTCCACCAAAGTAAGTCCATACCGCTTGGCTTTTTGATTGATCGTCCCGGTGATATTAATGATGCTTCCTTCGTCGGCTCCTGAAAGATATTCGGTGCTTTTTGTGTGCCGTGCCACTTCCTCGTCCCGCGCGCTCGCCCCGCGTAATGTAATTTCTCGATTGCCGGATAAGACCTCTTCTCGCGGGGCGAGTGAGCGAACGGCCGAGTCAGGATTGTCGTTTGCGGTACGAGATTTTGCGGGGATATTGTAATTGCTGAACTGCTGATATTGCGCGAGATGGATGCGATAATATGATTGGCGCCAATATCCATTGAGATTACTTGTTTTGTTTCATAGATCATTTTTATGCATTTATTTTCATTTCAAGCTGTGCAGATGATGTAAATAATTAACATACACACACACATACATATGTGTATTAATAGCAATATATCTCTTTTGTGTGTGTGTGTGTGTATGTGTGCATATAATTGTACATTGCTCTCGAATTTTCCGGAAAAAGCAGAAGACATAATATTGATCGCAGTTATATTGTGTATTAATTGTAATTATTTTCATTTCTGCTTCTTTAAAAGTTTCGCGTTCAATATTACAAGAATAAGATATTGATAAATTATTTCTTATCTCATCACTCTTAATAAGAATGCCACATGAATTTGGGTGTACATGCATAAGCTTTCCGAGATATATTCGGTTTTTATGTTTCATCTATTTTCGTTACCGTTATAATGAAATGTACAGTAAGCTGATTTGTGAAATATAGATAATTTTGCGCTTATGATTAATTATTCAGAAGATATTAATGATGTATCAGATTTAAAAGGGATTTTTATTTATCGGATACACGTGTAATTTCTGAACAAGTTGCTGGAATCCATTTCCTTAAACATTGATGTTATTAACGAGAAAGGCCGGTGTTACAATTATCAATTACATATGCCGGCTTTTAACTCTTATTTAAATATTTTTTATTTGTTACATAATTTGTTACTTAAGTGTTTTATAAAAAAAAAAAACCAAGTAATAATAATTTGTAATTTAATTTTTGAGACGCGCGCAGTTTTCTTTAAATTCTGATGAAGTATAGCAGTTTTAATAATTAATATAATTACAAGAGCTTGAATACGACATTATGATTGAAAAATTACAACTTTTGCGAACGAGTTTTCACTATTAACCTTATTTCTATTCATTTATTCTTTTGACGCTATTTCCGCATTCATTAATTTCTCCTTCTCACTCTCGATGACATAATAATTAGAGCGGCAACGTATGCGCGCCGCGTGTCTTTCTCCAGACGAGCGATAATTCGACTGACTGAGAATTGTGTTACGCAACAATACCCTTAATGCAATTAAAGCCGACGATAGAGTGATACACAGAGGGATAAAAGGAATGAGAAAGAGAGAGAGAGAGAGAGAGAGAGAGAGAGAGAGAGAGAGAGAGAG